CAAGGACTGCCAGCAAGAAAGGGTAGCATATGCTAGAGAAATATATATCAGCATTTAGATGATATTTAAAATTGAATGCAGGCCTCCCTGATGGCGCAAGGGGTTAAGCACTGCACTCATCCTCACTCACCACATTCATCCACAGCCTCCACAGCATGAGTTTGATCCCCGGCCATCCAGGGAGAAACCACATGACGAAGCAGACCACTCCTGTCTCACTCGCCGTTCCCCTCAGCAGTGTATTTTAGTCAGTCTGCCTGTTCTGTTCCCCACTCTGTCTCTGGTGAATCCTCTCACTCCCCACCCCCACATATCTGGGCTGTACCCTAGCTCCTGTATGCATAAATAAATAAATCTTTAAAAAAAAAAAACTGGGGCCTCCCTGGTGGTGCAGCGGTTGAGCGCTGGGCTGCAAAGCTGCCCACAGCATCCGCAGCGCTGGTTCGATCCCGGCCAGCGGCGAGGGTCTCACATGGTGTGACAGACCTCTCCTGCCACACCCGCTGTTCCCCTCAGCAGTGTGTTTCATCAGTCTGCCTGTTCTGCTCCCCACTCTGGCTCTGGTGAATTCTCTCACCCTCCAGGGCTTCTGACTGTACCCAGTGCTTGTATAAATAAATAAATAAATCTTTTAAAAAAAAAAAAAACTGAATGTGGCCACACAGGCTTCTAGATAGAAAAGAGGGCTCAGGACTGGTCAAGGTATACTTCAAATTCACTTCAAAGTAAGGAAGACAAGGAGAGCCCAATAAAGGATACTGTGAGATTTTATAACTAAGAGAGCATGGTTTCCTAATACCAAGTAAATAAAATGTTTCAAGAGGTTATAATGATGTGTGAAATGAGGGAATAGGATATTTCAAGTACTAGTGTGGGGGGAGAGAGAGAATGGTGAAGAAGGTAAGGGAAGGGAGGAGAGAGATGGGAGGGGGAGAGAGAAAGGAGGAGATGGAGAGAAGGGAAGGAGAGGAAGAGAGAGAGTAAGCAAACAAACAGGAAATAAAGTCTGAACGCCTGTGGTTGACTTGGAAAAGACCTGTAGATTTCATGGAAGAGGGGCAGGCAATGACTGGAAACATGCACAAGAAACAAGAAAAACCACTTTCCCACATCAGGCCTTCACATTCTCATCTCTTTTACTAATCTCTCCAAGCAGGATCCCACCAAAATCTTCAAATTCTTTTACTCTTTGTTACCCTGGGATACTCTTCAGGGAGTCCTATCTAAGACAAAGCAAGCCCCCAAACAGCTTGGTCCCAGATCAAGGTTCCAGTAGGCACTAATCAGTTCTAGGGAAGCTCCAGAGCAGAGGAAGCTCATACAAGCAGAGTGACTAAAAAGTTAATGTTTACCTTGAAACAGATCTACTCACTCAAGGATTCTCTGGGCCAGTGGTTCTTAGTGGGGAATACTTTTGCCCCCACCCTTATATTTAGCAATGTCTGAAGACATTTTTGGTTGTCACCCCAGGGAAAGACAAACGGGCAGGTGCTACTGGTATCTAGTGGGTGGAGGCCAAGGCTACTGCTTATGTCCTATAATGCACAGTAGAGCCTCACAACAGAGACTTATGTGGTTCCCAATATCAATAGTCCTGAGATTGAGAAACCTCACTCAACAGCAAAAACCTGGAGCAAGAGGTGCTTTGAGTTCTTACAGGCAAACAATCCCATCCACACCAGTTTATTTACACCAGTTCTGACCAGGTATAGCGAGGGAGTCAGACCAGTCAGCCCCATAAATTCTACTCCAAATCTCAAATAGGGCCAGAGAAAGAGGAAAAACCTGAGGCTCACTAAATAGTAAAAGTTAAAGAAATTAAGAAGTTGTGTCATATGTTAGAGGCAAAGTTACCAAAAATAAGAATAAGCAAAAAGATTTCTCTTTAAATGAAGCAGAAAATTCCATTTTTTCCATTTTGAATAACACCCTACAACAAAGTTCAAAAGCCAGCATGTTCTTTTAGCTCTACCAACTGCCAAAATATTCCTTCAACATTAAGGTGTTAGCGTGTTCTTGATTGAAAAAATGAAGTTAATTAAAGTAAGCTTTTGAAAAAAAGGATCTGCAAATTCAAAATAATTAATGTGTTGCTTTAAAAAACAACAACAACCATGAATCTTAATACTAGAGAGCGTATGTATTCTTACCTCATCAATATTCTACTTACACTGTCAATATTTTATGAGATACATAATCATCTACAGCTGGTCTTCCTGGCATTCCCTTTTATTCTCTTTCAGGGTATCTCACCCATTAACAATTTTTCCTACCTGAAGGGGTTTTCAGAGAAGTGTTTAGAGTGTTTTAAAGAGTCTACATTCTATATAGAATGCATTCTAGCATTTCTATTTCCACTTTAAAATCTTCTCTAGGAAAGTTTCAACCAATACATATGGGGAGAGGATGTGTCTTAATGAAAAATTAGATCCTCCTGCCTAAACGCTTTATCAGCAGGCTGCCTGGAATCCAGTGTGCTATTTTATCAGAGGAAGCTTTCCAGCAAGATGGTTTATGTGCTTGTTGTGAAAGGAGTGAATCCCTCAGTGAAATCCCCGTGTGTGCATGACCTGTGACCTGAGAGGAGCCAGGCCCCACCAATAACTGTCTCCTCCAAAGCTAGGACCAGCTGCAGCTTTAACAGTAAGAGGGTTCCTCGACCTCTCCCCCTCCATTTGGGGTACCAGGAATCAGACAAGGAGTTTCTAAAGGGAAGAGAATTGCATTTCTCTTCAAAACACATCACCATGTTTGACCGTGTCCTTCACAACAGCAGGCCTCACATCTACTCAATTCTCTATAACCCCAATAACCTTAGTTAAAAGGCAGTGTGTATTGGTATTGTAATAATACAATGGATTTTTAAAGAAAAGCACCCAAACACATACACACATATACATACATAGATGCTTATGTGTGTACATGTGCATGTATACATACGAAGAGAAAACAAGAGATTGTTTGACTAATTCAATTAAGAAAAATAAATAAGAAATATCCCCAAATGCCAATTAGGGAAATGAGCAAGCAAATTAAGGCATACTTATATAATGGGAAAAAAACGGGGGTGGGAATTGTATGTCTACTGTATGTCAGGTGTCTTCACATTATCTCATTTAACTTCTCTACATTGCTCCTGCAATTGCCTCTTTAGGTAAGAATCACTATTCTCAATATATGGAAGATGAATGGAAAGCCCAAGATTATATTTGGTCTAGAACAATAAATGGAATTGTAAATATAATATAACTCTACAAAAAACCAAACCATAGTATAGATGTAATGGTGTCAACCATGTGAGATTACACACACACAACACACCAACAATAAATAATGATTATCAGAAAAATAATGACAGAAAAAAGCAGAATTAAAATTATCTGAGTTTGTTTTTCCTATGAAGTTGCTTAAGCATATGATAAAGAAAATTCCCAAAATCAATTCCTTTACATATAACTACCCCGGGCTAATCAAGATTAAGAAGAAGAAGCAATAAATATAAAAGACCATGTTAAAGTATGAAGGTGGCTGGGTGAGGTTAAGATAAAAAAGTGGCCCATCCTTCATAAATTTTTCTATTCTTTCAGAGCCAAAGGGACTGGTAGAATTTCGTCATTATATCAAAGGGTGGAATTCTGCAAGTTTAAAAAAATTTGAGAGCCAAGTTCATGTCTCTGCAAAAATCTCCCTTTTTTAGAATTAGCACTTATATAACAAACATTCTTCAAATTCTTCTTTAAACCAAAAGAATTTAATCCTGGGGATCCCTCAGCAGTGGCTTTGTCTCAGGAGCATCAGTCACCTTCAGTCAAATAGAATTATCTTGGAGTCTTCCTCCTCTTATTCCTTTCCTTGGGTCTGACGACTACACTGCTATTTAATGGAGCAGCCAGAACTCATGCATGGGTCTCAGTTGGGCCTTCACATTATGCTATAAATTATAGGAATCAAACATGAATGGGCCTGGAGGGCAGCTCCCTGCCTCCAAAGGGTAAGTGGGAATTCACATGAAGAACTGCCCTTCCAGAAGCAAACTGAGAAAAGTTCAACCGGGTTTACACAGTCCCATTCTCAAACCCAAAAGCTGAGATTGGGTCACTGTTCTTTGTCCCTTGGTTCTTTTGTTTTTATAATGGCAGTTACCTATGTCTCTAATTCAGGGAGAAAACAGAAGATTGAAAAGCTGATAAAGGTTTTCTGAGATTGTTTAAAAAAATGGCTTATAAATATAATTCACAGCGAGTTCAGTTTCTTTATGGAGAGTATTTCTTATTTTTAAAAAAATGTGAAAGTAAAAGTTCCTCAACTGGTTTCTGCTAAAACCAGTGGTTTGATTTAAAATTACATCACAATAACTTCCCCTGATTCTCTTTTGTTTTAAAACTCTCACTTACATTCCTCTCTTTTTATGTTGACTATTACTACTAAAATATCCTGACTCAAGAATCTAGGAAAATGCTTGAAATGAATATAAGATCAGATCATAATGTTATTAAATTTGAGGGTAGCAATTTGATATACAGTTTATTAAAATTTTCCTAATAACGACACCAAGAAAAAGTCATTAATAATTACCCACAGAAAAAATCAGTCAGCTGAAATGGTTGATCCGATTCTTGGCTTCTGGCTTAGCCCCACAGGTTTAAAAAAAAGGACATCTATTGAGATTTATTTAATATGCCAGTCACTCTACTAAGTTATTTGCATGTATTAGCTCACTTATCTTTGCAACAATCCTAAGTAGTAATTGTTCATGTTAGAAATTATCATTATCCCCATTTTACAGATGGAAAATTAGGGCACAGAGAAGCTGGGTAACTTGCCCAAGATCACTCATCTAGTTAAGTTGGGAGTGAAAGCTGAACCCCAGACAATCTGGCTCCAGTACCCAAAGGACTACCACACCGTCACCAGTGCTCTCTGCTGTGGTCCTTCAATGGAGTCCTTCTCCTCTACATCAAGGGCACCGCCACTGTTCCCAAACACAAATTCCAACTCACATCTCTCATCATTTTCACTGCTTCCCTTGTCCTCCCGAGTCTTCTGGCACACATTGCTAGCCTTCTTTTGATGTAGACCAAGACATTGGTGTCTCGTCCTGAAGAGGGAGATATAAAACACCAAAATTTTAAAAAATACAAGAGCTTTCAGATGAGCAGCAAGAAGTACAGAGGCCCATTTGCCAAGCTCTTAAAGGAAAACTTTAGAGAGAACAGACACTTTAGGCTTTTCCTGATAGCCAGGAGCGCTGACAACCTTGATAACACAAGAATACACACAGAGTAAAGTCAAATACTTAGACCTCCAAAGGTCAAATCATGTGACTTATTACCTAAACCATGCTTTTGAGTTATGTTGTTGAATATTTGATAAATAAAATCATCTGCCACAAAGTGCTGGGGAAATGAACATACACATGTTGTATGCAGTTTACAAGCAAGAATTCCACATTCTTCAAATGTGCATGCTTTTAGTAAAGATGCAAAGAGGTGAATCTCAGGTTGCATCCTGATGAACTATTTTTTTTCCTTCTTGACATTAAGTCCGGAGAAGCCTCATCTTGAACTTCTGTTTTATATTATTCCTTCCCTAACACTAGTGACATCATAATCATCTCCAGGTCCCCAAAGCAGTTGATTTTAGATGGCAATATAACACATTCCAGATATGACAATAGAGTATGCAACAAAATGAAAAACTACCCTGGTGTTAGAGAAAGCATTGACAAGCTAAATAGTTATAACAATAGTCACTAAAATGGCTTTTAAAAAGTACATTAACAACTTCTCATCTTAATCTGTTATTTAATTATTTGTCTTTTTGGATATGTTTCCAGGCCAGTGAGAACATGCATGTGCTTAATCCTCAATAAAATCACCATGTTTAAAAAAAAAAAAGACACACCTGTTATAGATTAAGTACATGTATAATATGCAGCTATTAAAAGATGTTAAGACCAAAGTCCTAACATTTCAAATTTTAAACAATGAGAACAAGATGTGTGCTGAAAATTTGCCAAGTACCTACAAATTATTTTAAAGATGTGATTATATTTTTTGGATAGATGTAGGCAATAGGTTGAAAGCATTTAATTTACAGAAAAAAAGAAACAGAGAAAAATATTTAAGTTGTATTACAAGTTAGGCAATTATGTATCAATCCTCAATTTACAAAAACAGACAGTAACTACACAGGTCTTCAAATTTTATTTACTCTTTTTTTTTGCCAAACAATCAAGTTATAGATGTTATTAGAGACTTGATTAACATATATAGTCACTGTAAAGTAAAAATAAAAGCCTGTATATGCAGGGGACCTGTGGAAATGTTCATGTACACTTTGGCTATGATGCAAAGATCTCACTGCACTTTAGTCACAGGAACTAATGCACTCAATTTCTGTACCAACTCCAGTTTAACATGAAAATTTAGTTACACAGTCCCAAATATTAAGGAGATACACTCCTACTCCAAGATGCAGGAGGGAGAAATGAGGTGAGAGAAATTCCACCTTAAAAACAACTGGAAGTTTGGTTTTACTATGAAAACATTCCCTCCCACAAGAACCACTAAATTTCTGTTTAAACAACCAACAAACCGACAAGTCCAGAGGCTTAGGGAATTCCAGAAATGATTCTATTGTCTTTTTTTTATATCATTCCCCCAAAGTCTCACTGTCCCTCAGGTTAGTATGAAGTTAAAGGTCTCTTTTTAAAGTGTTATCAGAAATGAAATAAAAATCATTATGTTAAATAAAATAAAGATAAATAATTAGGAACTCTTTCTTTCTGGAAGACTACATTCATGTTTGTTAAATACTGAGACAGTCACTAATAACTTTTATATTCTTAATTGTCCTTTTTCAACTGATGCTGTATAAGACCCATCAAATAAAACCTTTGACATTTACAATCCTGTTTCCCAATTAGGATTTAAAGCTATGAGGCAGAGAAGCAACTGATAAACAGAAATATGTAAGAATTCTAGGGTGAAAAAATGGTTCCCATTCGAGGTTATTATCCATTTGTTTCTGGAGCTAGTAATCTATGGGCAAGAAAGAGAATCTAACCATCAATGTGACCAATAATGAAACTATATGTAAATTATGCACTATGGCTTCACGGGAAAGAAAAAAATAAAAACAGAGAAAGACAAAGTCAATTCTCATCTTGGAGAACCCTTTTGAACTAGCCTAAAAATTTACTCTGTTAAATCATGCTGCAAATCCGATCCCCCGACATGTCAACCTAGAGGAAACCTTACTATGCTGGGCTTCATACTGGGATCCATGATGCTGCAGCTGCTGAGAACGTCGATAACAGCCATCTCCAGCCTTCAGGGCCTGCTTAAACAGCTTTTCTGCTTCAGCAATGGTTGTTGCTTCCTCTTCAGCCAAGAGAATATAAGCAGTTGCACACCTGTCCATTCAGATAATAGCCACCATCAATTATAAATCCAAGGACATCAGAATAGCTGCAGGAGTGCATGCAGAAGGGCAAGGAGTTATGCCAAAACATGCAGAGTAGCCAACCTGTTCATGCACCTCTGTTTGTGGTTGTAGACACAAAATAATGGTACAAAAGAAACATCGTATTTTAGCTTGAGAGGTAGGGTGTGTGATGTTAGAAGCATGAGGTTCATGACATGAACTCTGCCCCTTATTAGTGTCACTTTGGGGCAAGTTATTACTCTGCCTCCCTGGTAGAGAACACAACATGGAATCTATTTGTTCACAATGTTGTTGTGAAGGTTAAGTAAAGTGATGCATATAAAAGTGCTCAGTACAGTAGCCAGCATGTGATACATGCTCATTAAATGTCAAGTAATGATAGCGATGATAATAACTCTTATTAAAAATCTCCTTCTAACACAAAGTTAGAGGCTCTATGTAAGTTGACTTTCTATTTACTAAACACAGATTCTCTTTAAGCTAAGTACTTTTTCAGAATAAAAAATTCACTAAATCAAGTAAGTTACTCATAGAAAAAAGCAGTGCTTCAATATCTCATTACAAATAGCACTGATTTTCTACGTCAGAGAAGAACACTAGAAGAACATACAGTAGTGTCATTTCTGAAGAGCTCAAAATATTATTTAGCTTCAGTAGCTAACAAGAGTTAAATATCATGCCTTTAGCAATAATAAATAGATGGGAGCATCAGCCATCCAGATATCTGCTAGAAGAAATCTCATTTGGTTAGAAGTAGGACACCAACAGGTTCTGGACTTAACAGTGCTAACAATTTTATCTCCCAGATGGTAGAGGAAACATTACTTGTTTAGTAACTATTAAGCACTGTACCAGGCACTTAACATATATCATCTCATTTAATCCTTCCAACAACCCTCTGAAGTAGGAAACCAGAAAGGTGACTACAAAGGAGCGGAATTCTTAGAAACTTAAACCTTCCAAATCATTTAAGGAACACACACTACCAAAGAAAGGGAATGTACAAGGGAAGTGGTAAAGCCAGAGCAGACCACACAGGTCCTAGTCTGCACAGATCCCTGTGCCTTCTTCCTTCTCCACTGCCTCCTTTGTGGTCATGTCCCTACTTATCTGACCACAGGAGAGAAAATAAACAGAAAGTGAAACCAAATGTTACTTCTACTATTCATCAACTGTAACAGAAAGCTAGGAAAAGAAATCTGCTCATGTGAGATTTGGGGTTACTCATTCACCTTAGCCTTGAGAAGGGATCTTATAAATAATTTAGTCCATCCCTCTAATTTTAGACAGAATTAACCAGTGAGGCTTTATAATAAAGGTGGTGAGGCAGGGAGAAAAATACCCAGAAAACAAAAATGTAAAATCAATTACTATGGAGGGCAGTAGGTATGACTTGGCAACAACAATAACGATGCTGCATTGCCCCATGATTCACTGGAGAACTACCTGGGACAGGCATCAGGAAGCAATACTTAAGGCTGCAGACGCCAATATATAAATATGGGACAAGGGTAATGAGGTGAAAATCATGATTATCATACTAAGTGGTAGATACAGTATTAGTGGAATCACTTACAAGATTATAGTTGGTGGGCTGGGAATTCAAGACAGGTTGGACCTAATATGCTAGCTTTATTTATATATCAAGTATTATTCTTAGGTGGAGAGGCAGAGTAGCAGTACTGACCAAGAAAACATACATCCATGTGGAAACTCATGAGTCTGGGGTAGAAACATGCTAACAGCTTGTGAGTGAAGGAGGAAGGAAAGAGCAATAGAAGTGCTAATGGTTGGGGAGTACAGAACAGACTGCTCAGCTCAATGGAAGATATAGATGATACATCCTTGTCACAACACAATACACATACAGAAGCAAGAAAGTGTGGTGATGGGGGTGTCAACCATCCAGATATCTGCTAGAAGAAGTCTCATTTGGTTAAAAGTAGGGCGCCCGACAGGTTCTTGACTTACTTTGGTAACAATTTTATCTCCCAGATGGTAGAGGAAGCAATTAGGGGAACTTCAACTCTGGACCTAATTCTGACCAAGAAGAAAAAAATAGTTGGTGAAATGAAAATTGATAGGAACATTCAGAGAGAGTTACTATGTCATTTTGGAGTTTAGGGTAACAAAGAAGGTCAGTCGGACTTCAAAAATTCAGAGAAAAGAGGCATGAGTTAATGGCATGAGACTCAGAAGGAAAAAATGGTGTAAGTGGGTTGGGCAGCTTCCAAATGTCCAACTGTAACTGTAATCACAAATGATCCTCTCAGGAAGTAAAGAGGAGTGACACTTAAGTAACCGATATGGCTGCACAGAGATCTCTCACAAGGTGAGAGTTTTAAAGGACATGTAAAAAAAGATGGAACAAGGCCATGTAATGAAGGATTGTAAGAGAGTGAAATGAGCTTATAAGAATAATGTCAGGAAAGCTAAGGCTACAAATTAGCTGAGGCTTGCAAAACAAAATAAAGACAAAACAAAACAAAATGCTAAAGACAACCATCTATTCCCTATTTTTAAATTATGTTTAAGGCCATTTACCACCCCATCATAAAATCATCACCAAAAATAAGGAAGCAAAAAAACAAATACAACAACATCAAAACAAGGAAAGTTTATAATTAGTAGCAGCAGATAATAAAGAGAATGCAAAAATTCTCTCTTATTTTGTTCCTGGCTTCTCCATTAAGGAGAATGATCACCAGACTGAAAAAAGGAGAATTAAACTCTAAAGTGGGTTTAAAAAAAAAGATGTAAGATAGCAGACAACTGATTTATTCTAAATGAATTGCTATACTGGAATAAGCAAATCCCAGGAAGTCAACAGACCTTGTAGGGAGGCCATGGAACTACTTTCTGTAGAAAGTTAAGGAATCACTAAGAATGGAGAGAAGTACTAACAGATGAGATGACAAATGAAGTAGAAATGTTCAAAAAGGGGAGGAAAGCAGACTTCCCAGACTACAGAGCAATGTTTTGGAAAGATAGGCTAATAGATTATTAAAGGGATGATCTCCAAGCATTTTAAAAAAGAAAATCATGAACAACAACTAAGCTAGCTTAATTTCACCAAGAATAAATAAATCCAGTTGTGTTAACTGCATTTACTCTAGTTTTTACTATTCATTAAAGACCCATAGCTACAACTGACATTCTTAAGAGCAATGGAGAAGTATGGACTGAATCACAGTATACCTGGGTGGCTTAGTAATTGGTTAAAAAATACCAAAATGATGAAGATTCATGAGGACATGAACCTGGAGGGTCATTTCTTATGTCATGTCACAGGGTTCTACCCCTGACCCAATATTTTTTATCAGAAACGTGGATGACACTCAGAAGGCAGGCATATCAAAAGTGTAAATGGCAAGAAACTGGAAAATAAATGTTGCATGACAGAATCCGAAACCAAATAGATCAACAGGTTAAAATGGCAGGATTTCCAAATCTCAAGTGAATCTTTTTTCTAAGATCTCTGAAGAAGATTCTGTAACCTTCTTCAAAAAAAAAATCATAAAATAGTTTAACAATGACCACTTGGCAGGGAAAGAGTCGAGGTGATTCAAGCTCCAGATGGGTGGTTGAGCTCAATGACCTTTAAGGTCTCTGCCAACCCTGAGCTCTTATGACTCCAACTTTAAGAATCCTTCTCATTTTCTGAGACTTCCAGAAGAGATTTCCTGGCCTTCCTTGGTAACTCATAGAATGTTTAACAACACTGAGGACATTTCTTCTTTATCTTTATCATAAGCTTGAAATATTTTAAAAGTTTAATTTTTTAAATTGATGTTTTTGTTTCCCCCACTAGCAGAAGAAGTTCTACCTAGAAAAATGTGATGGCACAGATGAGCATTCTACTTCTGGAAAAAATTTTTTGTCAAAATGTTTTAGATATGTGAAGAACTATACTTATCTTACATCCTCACATTATCCTAGGGATAGCCCTTGAAGGATTTAATTTAGAGTCACAGCAAAGCTACTGAATTACTTTCTAAAATGACTAAAACCACTTCCACATCAGATCTCTTTTTTAAAAAAATTATAAATTAATGACCCTCAAGTTTAAATGCATAAATTAATGTAAGTATCCCACCATCAGCAACTGAACACATTCAGCAGAGGATGAAATTCCTTTTTAAAAACAAGATTTTCTCCCACTTACTCATTTATCTCTAAGGCTTCATGAGCCGCAGAAATCCTCGCTTGGGGATTTCTCTCTCTCCAGGCTTTCTGCATTACTATTTTAGAAAAAAGAGAAAAAAGCAAGTCAATCAATACACATAATTAGGCATAATTAGGAACACAACGAAGACAATAGCTAAATTAATAATAGCCTTCAGCTTGAGCAACAGGGGAATATTTCACTTACAAGAAAATCACTAGCTCAAAACTCTAAAGTCATACAAATACATTCTAATTTGCTATTCCATTCTTCTTCAACTAATGTTGAAAGCTTTCTTGTGTTTATAAAACCACAGATCTAAATCTTACAGACTAATCTATGGTCTATTATCTTAGAGATTTAATATTTCTTTAGCTCACTGATGTCACTTGTTAGATAACATTATTTTATATATATTGAGATGACATTTTTACTATTTTACTTAGACACAACAGAAGTGCTATTGGTCATTTCCCCAACTCTTGCTATGAACATTTTGAAATCATTTGAAGAATAATGAATTGGATGAGAGAAAAAGCACTTTAGGCTTTTGCTTAACCTCTGTGCTTGTTCTCAAAGTTTGCTGCAAACCTAGTTTTTAATATACCAGAGAAGTTAGTGAGTACAGTGTGGGAAAATCAATGCTTGGAATATTTAATGTCCACAATGGTAAAGGGTATCTTTGAAAAAAAGTCACAACTCTTCATTTAATTTGTCTTATAACTTTATATTTTCTAAGTTTGTTTTTTAGAGCAAGTACATATTACTTTTTTACAGATTTTGTTCATTTTTTTGATAATATAAAATGTATCAGAATTATTTAGAACTCAAGTAGCAGGAAATGCATTCTAAAGTCTTCTCTAGGATAAAAAACAAAAAAGAATTCTAATAGTCATGGTCATGTCCCCATTCAATGCTAGTGAACATATAAAAAGGCATATAAGTCACCACAATAATTTATCAATCATTTGGATCTCAATCTCTAACTAGAATATCACCAAGGAGGCATGATCTTTCATTCAACCAACTAAGGATTTAATTAATTAGCTACATGTAAGACATATAATTTTCAAAATATATCACAGTTAACTTTGGTATACTAACTTTGGTATCTAACTTTGGTATATTTTAAAATGTATTTTTTTATTTTATTTTTATATTCCCCATACAATCGCAACCCCTTATTTTGTTAAAATGTATTTTAAATTATAACGAGGGGACTTACTTAGATATATAGACTTCATTATGATAAAATATTTTGGTGTCAGAATTTTGGGTAAAACTAGTCAATTTCCAATTTAATATTTTACCCATTAGGGTTTTGGTAGAGTCGTAACCTTGGTACTGAAATCAAAAAGCCCTCCCACTCAGCAATATCCAAAGGATTTTGCATACTTGCATCTGCGGGACGCAGATGATCTGAATCACAAGTAAAAAATGTCTGGTGGTCCTGGGCAGAAAGATTCATGTCATAGTAAGTCAGAGGTTCTCGTCCTGTCACCCAAGTGTACCTGCAAAGGGGAAATAAGATAGTCAGACACTTTTGGGAGAAGAAAGCAAACAAAAATATTCAGCTGCATACAAGTAGAAATATAACCATTAACTTAATACTAAAACAGATTTAGCAATGAATTAAAAAATAATTTTAATCCTATTCTCCCTTCAGGAAGTATGTAAGTTGGAAAGATATAAACATTTCCACATGTATTTCTGTCTTAAAATTTTACCAGTATTAGCTAATTTAAACCACCCCTAGTTAGCACTATGAATGCATTTCCCCAAAGCTATGAAAATTCTGATTTGCCTAATTACTCTGCAAAACTGAATTTCAACATAACTTCTGTGACATCTTTTTAACCATGTTCCAGGTAAGCTTCAAAATATTTTGATTACATAATACATAATGAAAAGAATAATTGTAATATAAAATTTTAAATGATATATTTGTATATATTATCCCAATTCTAGTGCTAAAATACTTGTAAAATAAAAATCAAAACATTTGAGGATGGTATCAAAAAGTAGAAATACTAAACAGTCTGTTACAATGACCCCTCAATGAACTAGCAAAAACAATTGCTGCTGTCTTTGCTCTCTGAACTAGACCCATTTGTTTGCCAAGCTGTCAAAATACTTACCGATTATATTCAGCACCTCTAAATAAATTTAGTGGATTTCGCCATACTTTGCATTCTGCAACAAAGAGAAATATGAAAATGTTACATGTAAGTTCAGAGACACCACAAGCTAATTAATTCAGGAAAACGCCCTTCCTGGCCATTTGATAAGATAATTTTATTCTCTATCCTTTACAGGGGAAGCAACATGGAAAAACTCTGGGTGTTTAATCAAGAAACATAGCTCAGGCAGCAGGACTTTGGAAAGTTTCCCCTAATCTCTCTGGGCCGAAGTTTCCTCATTTGCTAAATCAAGGTGCATGCCAAAATCAGCTAGGTCCTAACTTCTGTAGACATTTCTAGAAGTCTAAACAAATTCTATGAATTTACTTCTAAAATGAATGGTAGAAAGTATATGTAGAATTAAAAGTACTTTCTGTTACTCTAAAATATACCTTATAACTTTATATATAACAAGATAAACACAAGCTCTGGTGTGTAACATGCAAAGAGCCTTAGACTCTTAATTAGGGTCTATGCTAATAATGATTTATAATAATCTGCTTTTTACATTGCTATAAGGAACAGTAATAAAATTAATAAGATTAATTGTTTCAAAGCACTTTTATATCACTATGCAGACATATGTACAAATCATACCATCGTTATCCATACCATACAATGCTAGCACAACTAAGATTATACATCTTTCTTATATGAGGACCACAGGAACTTAGGACCACAGGACTTAAACTTAGAAAAGGTCAATCATTAGCTTTAAGACTGTTAGAGTAAGTGTATGACTAATAAACTACAATTCTTTTTAAACAACCTATGATTAAGACTTTCTAATGATTCAGAATATTACATTTCTTTGGATGAATAATGTTTCATTAGAAAATAAAATCAGTTAACAGTACTTAAAACCTCCGTGTGTGTGTAGTCAGCCAGAAAACACACCCAACAACATATACACACAAAAGTGAACAATTATTGCAGAAATCAAGAGAACATTAAAGGCCATGGGTGATTCATCCAGAGTCTATTCTCAGTCCTGTTACATTCAAAAGCCACCATTCCACCTACTCATCCATCCATCATCCATCCATCCAGTGGGCATTAATTGAAAACTCAGTGGAAGAAACAAACAAGTAAACCATAAAATGTTATAGAGCATGAAAATAGAGAACATAAATCACTATGGGAACACTATCATTGATCTCAATAAATTTTGTTAAAATAGTGCATGAAGGGGAAAGATAGGTATTTTTATTTAAAGAAGATAAGTTTTTCTTTAAATTAGGGCAGGATCCTAGTTAATAGTTTACTCGATATTTATCAACAATGGCTCTAAATATCACTTAGCTTAAATTTCCAGTTAGGAAGCAATCTTTGCTCAGCAAGTTCAACATCTCTGAATTTCATCAAATCTCTAAGATTCAAAGTTGTTACTTCATATTGCATATGCGTTCTTAAAAAAATTCCTTTTTGCACCAGGCACTAAGCTCCTTAGAGAGGTCATTTAAAGCACTCCAGATCATGGCTCGATTCATACTAGTGAGCCAAACAACCATAAATTCTGCCCTGATGGCTATTATAACAATTGCATTCTCACAATTCCTCCTCAGAGCCTTTCAAGCCTTTCTTAGAGCTCCATTAATATTGTAAGGGTTGCAGTTGGCATATAAATATGCACACAGATTTATGTACAAAGGATGATAATGGTAACATTGTTTCTAATAAGACAGGGACATCTGGGGAGATGCCGCTTCTACACTGAATTTCATCTGAAATAGTAAAAAGGTTATGGTAAATAACTTGTCTCTGACAAATACATTATTATACCACCTGGAATGATAAACATGGTTCAAATACTAACTGGCAAATTACAAAGCAAATTTACTTCAATGCAAAGGCAATGCAAATGAAATTATTACCAAACAAAAATTATCTCCAAAGAGAAATGGTATGCGTACCAAAGTATTACTGAGCAGTATCTAAAGGGGCTATTTTATTTGGGAAGTGCCACAATATAGCCAGCAGGGGGTGTTGCAAACATTTTGAAATAATGTTTTTCTGTGTCTGTTAGAGAACTGAACTTTAAAAAACTCACTAACATTAGAGTCTTACATGTGGTATCTATTCAGTTTCTTCAACTATCCCTTAAACTTTAAAATATGAGGATATAAGTAATTATAACATATAAAATGTTCTGAGTAGGGGAAGAATGTGATGAAATATAAAAGAAATGCTATCATTTCTTTTTTATGGCCTTCAAATTGAGGGTGCACATGTAATTTTCTTTTAAAAAATAAGCAATGTGGAAGTCAAATATGAACACATGTCAAAGTTTCACTTCAAATTATAGGTATGTTAATTTCTTCAATGCTGTTCTGCTTCATAATCTTATCTTTACTACAAAAACTCTTAGTCTGGAATCACTCTAGGAAATATACCCCATAAATACCAGACTGACTGATGGTTTTGTGATATGGACAAAGGTTGTAAATGCCAACAGTACTAGAAAAAATGAAAATTTTAAGTCAAGAAATTAAACCCAGGCCTCCGGAGAGTAAAAGTTTTCCCACATCAGGTCTATTTGTGACTTAGAGGAATAAATTTCTTATTCAAATCATAACGAAATATTTGCTTCTAAATGGCATTTCCATTCTCCAGTAATATCAGCAATGTTAGTGTTCTTTAGAAGTACTAAAGACTGCCTGAGTATTTGTCAAGGACTTACCAACATCATTAAATTCAGTAAAAATTAAAAATAAGCACCTGATACAATAAACATGCTCACTGGTTCCACCTGCAGTTGTCCACAGTAGTCTCTGCCCATAACTGCTGACAGAGATACACACACCTCTCTGCATGCATGCAAGAATGCAGCTCAGAAGAAAAAGATGTCATAAATATTGGAATAACTCTTGTTTTGTGCCCAAAATCTACAGAACAGTTTACTTCTTTTGAGATAATAGAAAGAATGATTATAAGTTTCCGTGTGAGAGACAAAGAATCTTAAAAAATAATGCTCAGTTCCATCGAGGACTTCTAAAACCAACTTCCAATCTTTTCCTCAATCTTCCCTCTCACCATTCTCCACTAACACCTTCCACCTCATTGCTACTTATTTTATGGCTTTTATACTCAGGTACTCCTCCAGAATGCCACCTCATTGCCATAGAACTGTGTGGCTTAAACATGTCCAAAGTAGCTATTATGCAATAGTCACAGCACTCAGCCCAGAGCTACAAAAAGAGATACAGCTTATGACTAGAAAAGCTTAAACCTTGTTAGAAAAATGAAAAAGAGCACTGGATGCCACTGTGGCATCCAATTGAAGCTTTATAAGAGAAATACAGGTTTCCCCCATTATCCAAAAGTAGAGTGTTCCTATTTGGTATAATTTGATAGGTTGTGTTTTGGATCTGGGCACAGTCAAAAATTATTCCATAAAAATTAATGGTAATGGCTACTTTTGAATAGTGAGGAAACCTGTAAATGTACTGAGAAAACCACAAATTTCACCTTTATTACAATCCTCAAAGGAAAAAAACGATATTCACAAAAAAACCAAAAGGCTCTAAAAGTCACAGGACTTTTAGTCACATAGAAGAAAATATTATTCTACACACAATTAACCCTGAAAATTTTTTTCCTTAAAAAAATTATACACATATGGGTCTCCCCTGGTGGCGCAGTGGTTGAGCGCTGGGCTGCAAGGCTGCCTGCAGCCTCTGAAGCACCGGTTCTATCCCCGGCCACCAGCAACGGTCCCACAGGGTGTGCAGATCTCTCCTGCCACACCCGCTGCTCCCCTCAGCAGTGTATTTCGTCGGTCTGCCTGTTCCGTTCCCCGCTTTGGCTCTGATGAATTCTCTCACCCTCCCGTGCTTCTGCCTGTACCCAGAGCTTGTATAAATAAATAAATGTTAAAAAAAAAATTATACACACACGTGTGTGTCTCTCTGTGTGTGTGTACACAAATAATGCTCAGACTTCTTAAGGATTCAGAACCTCTTCCCAGGATCTGAAAATCAATAATGACAGTAATATTATTATAAACAAAAGTAACACCAATTTTTGTCTTAGTTATATGCTTTCTGTAAAGGAGCTTAAACTCAAGTTACCTTGAGGTGAGGAGCATATATGAAGTCAATCAACTCTACCAAATATGTGGAAATTATAAAATAAGTTTATTAAATAAATGTTCACCAGAGACTTAAAATTGTTTTAGGCATTTTCACCACTCAGCTGAAGAGCTAATCTATTCTAAAATACAAACTTTGTGACAAAAAAATTTTGAAGATGTAATAAGCATTGGCTAGGAGAATTAGGTTTTAATACATGCTTAGATATTGTCAAGTACAAATTAAGTTTCCCCTGATTGAGATTATTAGAGAGTAACTCCAGAGGTCTTTAACATGTAATAATTTCAGTTTTTCTGGGGCATGTATTTGAAATACAAGGACCAAAAGGTCTGGGTATGAAAGTGAGTCACTGAGCTAGTGGATAAGCCTAGCTGAACCTTCAGCCACACCTCCATGCAGCTGTGCCAGACGCCCAATAATACTCACAGAGAAGTCAGTTCATCTGGAGCACACTTCCAAATGGCTGTCCTCTAATGATATTTCTGAGTGATTTCATTTAATCCAAAATTTACTATATGAAGTAGATACTAATACTGTTATTTCCATGTGTGCAAATTAAGAATACAAGGAAGGTTAAATGTCCTGTCTAAAGTTACGCACTAAGTAATGGAGCCAGATTACAACCACATCTGTCTGACTCCAGAGTCAGAACTCAATCATCAGCAATCCTGCCACTGAGCTGTTTCTACAGTTGAGTTTAGCTAACATCACTTCAGAAATAACATCACATACAGTAAAACAAGGTTTCAATGAAATTAATTATTTTAATTGCTTAATATTATATTACTCTTTAATAAGCAGACCTCACAGAGGATCTGAATTAAATTTCATAGTAGTTGGACCCTGAAGTGAGATCCCCCCAGGATGCCATTCATGTGACCTTGGGCATATGACCTAACTTTCCTATATCTCAATTTCGTCCACCATAAAATAGAGATTAAAAATAGTATTAGCTTCATGTAGTTATTATGAGATTAAATAAGATAATACATGTAAAATTGATATGTGGCCTTAAGAATATAGTTACTATTATATAGTTAACCATAACTACATGACTTTCTGTGAGGAAAATTATTTGCTCTGTTGTTATGAGAATTTGAGGATCTACAAATGTCTTAGGATATATCCTTAAATTCTACCTGAGTTTCTTCATCTCCATTATTTCTCTTTACTCTAAATTTATTCTCTTTATTTAGTTAGTACTTCAACTGTTTCTGGTGATATAATGAACTTTAATTTAGAATTCAAGATGAAATTCTTATAAAAAGTTTTACATAAAATATATCATATAAATTAAATATATCTTATATAGGATATAAACATATATAAATATATCTTACATAAATTAAGCCTATTGACTATAACCAGAGTTTGTCTAAAGATCTATTTCTATGCAGGAGACTACTAAAGCATCTCAGAGAATTACAACTTGACTTTGGCAAGGATGTACCATCCAAACTATCCTTAAGGCATCTGATTTTTGAGAATTTTTGATATTTGAGAATATCTGATATTTGAGAATAGGGCAGATTATCAAACATCCATAAACTCAAATCCACAATGCTACTGCGACCTGAGATCTTTTTTCCCTAAGATAGGAAGAAATTGGCCAAGTTTTAAATTCCTTACATATCATCAACTCATAAATTAAGTGGAATTAAGAAACGGCTACAAGAAACATGGTGATGTAGTAAACATATTAGCAGAGTTTATCAGAAACTGTGTATTTGCAAGAAAATAGCAATTTAGCTTCCAAATAGAGCAAAATAAGTGAAATGTTCACAAATGGTAACCTAAGCCAAACAATCTGAAGTGTGCCTAGACTAAGAAACTATATAATTAACTATATTTTTCTTTTGGTCCACAATTAAATATCACTGTAAATTGTGAGACTCTGCACTCAGATCACTTTGTACAAATTCAAAAATTAAACAGTACGTGCCTTGTAACAATCACCAACCCACATTCAAATCATGCATAGGTAGGCTAGATCTCTCCCTCAGCTTTGAATCAAAAAAACAAGTGATTCTTTATGGAAAAAAACTACACTATGAGTTTTCACACAGACTAATGTTTATTAAGTGATATTTTCTGTTTATTTTTTGCTTTTTCAATGATTTTTCTTAGACAAGCAATGCCATTAAATGGTCTTTACCAGTGTGCATGGGACTTTGCTAGCCATCTTGTATTTCACTTAAGATTCAGCAAAAACTCTGTGTTATAAGACTTCATGAAAATTAATAGATGCACCTTTCTTTATTAAAGCAATAGTTAATTTATTATTATTGAGATAATGGGAATTTTTAAATAATTTCCTCTACTGTAAGAAAATGTGAATACCCTGTTTTTTAACCTTCTTTTTCCTTCATACTTGGTAGGAATGAGATTATGGAATAGAAAGTGATTGAGGGTAAAGATAAACGTAGACAATATACTTTTATAATATTTTTATTATTCAAAAATAAAAATCACCATAAGAAAAGAGAAGTCAAAGTGATATTAATCCCATGGTACCTTGTTCTTCCATGTCAGCCTACATGTTTGTTGAGTTCAGCCACAAATTAGATACCTAAATATCAAGTGAAAGTGGGTAGTTTGAGCCCAAAAGATGCTAAGATAAGGTAATTTCCATTTTCCTAAATAAAACTGAACATTGTTATGAGATAAAATCATAAATGCTGTTATCTATCTACTGCATATGAAATGAATAGAAATATTATATGCATGTAGTAGGTATTTGGTAAATACAAGATGAATTAAATTAAGTATATTCAAAAGTTCAGCCTTAGCTGGGTAAAAACTTAGTACAAATAAAACTGGGAATTTCCATGATTATTATTGTTGGATATAATTTCATAAAAGATTTGGGTTCTACCTTTAAGATCTGCTGTAAAAAGCACTGAGAATAGCATCAAGATTTATATAATGCATAAGGTTAAATCAAAGCAACCACAAAGAGAGACAGTAAAATAATAGCAACAATAAGAACAGTATGAACTCTTCATTGAATTAGGAATGATGTCAAGAGATTTAAATTGGGTAGAGAGAATTATAATGAAAATAAAAAATGCATTCACAATAAAGAATGGTCTCAAATGAGGCTGCTGTTTTCAATCTGTTAATTTTCTACAATTTTCTGTGTCATTCAAAGACTACAGTAACTGGAATCAGACAAGGGCACATTTAATCTGTGAGGTCTTCAGAGCAGATGCAAAGTGATGACAATTATCTCCACTGCTTATGTGATGATGACTGATCAAGATTCCTGATTAGAATAATAAGCCATACTTATAAGAGTAGCTGGTTAAAATAATGGTTAACTTTGCTCAGGTCTATTTCTGTTTCTTTCACAAAATGGATGAGTTTACAAAGTCTCTGACAATCCTGTTACTGGGTGGTTCCATCTTTTGCACACATACCCTTTAGGATGACATGAAATATGTATGTAGACGTACCCATTACTACTCCTGGCTGGTTGGCAAAATGTTGATTATCATTTGAATATCAGAAATATGTACATTCACTGTATATATATATACATTCACTGTATATGTATCAGCATATGTATATACACTGCTCCTTGAAGTTTTTCCCTTGTGTGGACAATTATAAAATGTGAACTAAGTTATTCCACAGAAGAAGAAAAAAATATCTGACCTTGCTTTTTAATTTCTTCCTCCCTCTTCAGCCTTCCTATCTCAGAACAGAGGCCCTCTCCTTGAAAAAACAATCTTTTCCCCTCCAGTTTAAGACAGGAACTCCTCCTATGTTCTTTACAGCATTATATGTTTCCCTCATATAGACAATTAAGTTTTGTCTCCTTCAGTGAGCATGAGTGTTCTAGGAGAAGGACTTCGGACTTTTCTTCTAATTATAATATTCATAAGAACTTGTATAAGGCCAAGTTCATATTAGGTACTAAGGAAATGTTTACTGAGTTGATGAAGAGAGCAAACTAAAAAATTAAATTCTTTCCTCTTCTTTTATGAGTGGAGAAAGTACAGTCTTACCTGTGTTCACTTATTTATTTACTGAGTTTCAATGATACACTAGATAATCTGCAAAATGCTAGAGATACTTCCATAAATCAGTCAGCTTAAATGTACAGTGCAATTTGATAAAATGCTACAGATAAAAATATTAAGGGTAAACAAAGATAGAGAAACATTGTATAACCTATCTAAGAAGGTTTCCCAGGAGGTAATGAGCTGGTCATTTGAGTTGGGTTGTGAAAGATTAGCAAACACAGAGAGAGGAGACAGACTTCTAGACACAATGTCACAAGAAAACAGGACATGTCAAAAATGTAAAAGCAAGGGACTGGACTGTGACAGCTGTCAAGGTTGGCAAAAAGCATTGTGTGCTAAGGAATCTACAATCTGGGCTTTATCTTCAGTGGAATGGAAATCAATAAAGTCTTTAAGCTCAGGATCAATGTCATCAGATTTAGATACAAGCTGCTGCATTAGCATGGGAGAGAATGGATACAATCAATGTGGTTTGAGAAACTAGGGGCAGGGAGGTGCAAGGAGTCTCTTGCTAGAAGCTAAAGTTGGGAATACTGACATAAATGGATGTTAGCTAAATCCAATGGAAGAAAAAGTAAAATTAAACAAGATAAACAGTCCTTTTCCTGGGAGGCTTATATGCTACACCAGGAGGCTGTCAATTCCTTGGGAAAATAAACTGCATTTTTTATGAAGTCTAATATTTAAATAACAACCTACTGTCTCGTGATTATGATAATTTTTAACACATAATGTTGCAAACTGAAGGACTTTCCATACCTGAGACACTTTGCCTGTTGGAATCCGAGTCCCCATTGCTGGAGTTAGAATTGTTGGAGGAGTTGTTGTCAACCCCTCCCAGGAGGGGGCGCAAGTGGCTTACTGAGACTTGTTCAATGAACGATGTTCCATACTTGCGAAAATACCACCATTCAAATATCTGGAACAGAAAAATAAGGGTAATTATGGCCTTTGTTACTGTTTATGATTTTTGTACTCATACTCATAAAACACAACGCACTAACTAGCCTTATCTACTTTAAATACTTAATTTTTATTCCTAAAAAAACTTGTTTAATGCATTCTAAAATTTAAAGAGTTTAATAAATTTAAAAACCAACTAGATTTTAAATTCTCAATGATGTTTTCTCCACTTAACACTGGTTTTCAAGAAAAACTTATAAGACAGCATGGGTAAAAGAACACCAATGATTTTGTAACTAGATGTGGTGATGAGGGTTAACTAGACTTACTGTGAGCATTTCACGTTTTATACACATATCAAGTCATTATGTCACACACACAAAACTAATACTCTTATAGTAAATAAAACACTGTTCAGAGATGTTCTATACTATTTTCCTCCATTTTAATTAAATAATAATACCACCAGAGTAGAAAGACAAATTCAGAAATGTATACAAATTTGCCAATTTTAGAAAGAGGTTTTTGAAATACTTCAATTCCTGGCATTTTACATTCTAATAGTCATGCTTGCATAAAATTTAAGATAGCAAAATTCCAATTGTTAAAAATTAAGACTCTCTTTAGAGAAATGATGGTTTTACAAAAACAAAGAGTGAAAAGCATCCCATTTCATGTAGGGGTGGCACCCACTGCCGAGAGATTCAGGAATGTCCCCCTGCTAAGAAGTGCTTTATAAACACAAGCATCTGTTGTACACCACTAATGTTTCCCAGTTCACAAGCTTACCCATTGCTTATATACTGTGAATTGCAAAAGTAAAAAATAATAATTTCCATTAATAAAAGAAGTAATGCTCACACATATAAACTGAAATCGGGACTTCCTAAGTGCTAGAAGAGCAAGTGACCTTTCCTGACCATTCTTACCTGGCCCTCTGCCCCTCCAGGAAACATATACCCACCATTATTTAAAGTTGCCCTCTCCCACATCCTCTCCTCTCTTCCCTATCTGATTTGGGATTTGTTCCTTAACAAGTTAGAAATCATCACACAAATTTAAGAAGCAACTATATCTCAACATCTCATAGGATAGCCATACTGTTTTTTAAATACATTATAGAATGTGGAACTAATGTAGAATTAATTACCTTCATCTTTACCCGTATTTCATAAAAACAAAATTTCCTTAACAACCTTGGAATGGAATTTGGGCTACTATTTAAAAATTGATGTTTTCTCCCTTTTGTTGTACCAAAAAGTCCTTTTAAAGACAGGAAGAACTTCTATGAATGAACAGAAGAAACTATCAAACCAATTATTTCTGATCCTATAATAGGATAACTTGATTTAGTTTCAAAAAGTTACTCCTGCTGCCTATATGAATTTTCACATGTTAAAACATTCAAGTACTTTTGCTAGGTAGACTGGGTAAAATATGATGTGAAAGCTAAGGGACAGGACTAATCTATAAGATTTGCAATGGCAGCAATAAAAGACTTTGCTCAAAAAGGGAAGAAAGTTCAAGAATGGCAAATTTACAAACCATCCAAAAGGGAGTTAGCAATCTCAGGGAGTTATTTCATCTATCCGAACCTCAGTTTCTTCTACTGTAAAGTGAAAATTGTTATTTATCCGTGGGGGTCAACCTTTTTCACACCCCACATAAAATACCTAGTTTCAACCCCCATGTAAAAGATGTAGTTCAATGCCAACTGCACAGTTGGTTCTCAGATGTAATAGCAAAGTTACCATTTATTACAATGACAATGTTTACACCCCCGTGGGTAGCATACCTCACATACTGCTGTGAGGCTCTTCACTTTTGCCAGTCTACATTTCAGGCTCCTATTGCATCTTGTCTGTTAGGCTTTTGGCTGACAGCCCGGGAAACCATTGTGGAAAAAGGCACTGTTCACCATACAATCCTGGCTACTCCACAAAGGCCTCAAGAGATTCGTGGCTTTGCCTTTATTAGGAGAGGAGGCAGTCTCTAAAGGATCCAGAACACCGGTATAGAACTGCAAAGGCTTTCAATCACTTATGGGGCATTATTTGTCCCAGAGCTTTGCTCTGCTTCTATATTATGCTGGTTGGGCACCTGCCAGATCTTAGTTCATTCATACAGTCAACAGCACCAAATGCTCCACTCTAGGCATGAGCTATGCTCCAAGGATGCTGAGCATGAATGTGGCCCCTGCCACTACAAGTGCGCCAGAGACCCAGCATGTCTTTCACAGGTTGTTCTTGGCATTGACTATTCCCACCAAAAAAAAAAAAAAAACCACCTTTTTTAATTTTTAATTTTTTAATTTTATTTTATATATTTTACATCATTTTTCATTTTTGCACAATGTATGCATTTTCATCTTGGCTATATTCCCCATACAATTCCTACTCCCCTTATTTTGACCCTACTCCCTCATCCTCTCCCCCTCTCCATAGTTTGTCTCTGGTTTATAGTTGCTTGTTGATTTTGAGTTTTACTTTATTATAATTTGTCTTTTTCCTGGTCCCTTATTTAGGTTTTCTAAATTCCTGCTATGAGTGAGACCATCCACTATTTTTCTCTTTCTGGCTTATTTTGCTGAGCATGATCCCTTCCAGCTCCATCTATGTTGCTGCAAATTGCATGAGTTTATCTCTTTTGATTGCTGAGTAATATTTCATTATGTATATGTACCACATCTTCTTGATCCAGTCATCTATTTGGGGGCATTTGGGTTGTTTCCATAGCTTAGCTATTGTAAATAGCACTGCTATAAACAAAGGGGTGCAGGTGCCCTTTTGAATTAATGGTTCTGTGTCCTTTGGGTGGAATTGCTGGATCATATGGAAGCTCCATCTTTAGCAGGCTGAGGAATCTCTACACAGCTTTCCATAGTGGTTGGACCAGTTTGCACTCCCACCAGCAGTGCAGGAGAGTTTCTTTTTCTCTACATCCTCACCAACATTTGTTGTAGCTAGTTTTTTTTAAATATGTGTCATTCTCACTGGTGTAAGATGGTATCTCATTGTAGTTTTGATTTGCATTTCCGTGATTACAAGTGATGCCGAACATTTTTTCATGCGCCTGTTGGCCATTTGCATTTTCTCTTTGGAGAAGTTCCTTTTTAGCTCTTCTGCCCACTTTTTGACTGGATTATTTACTTTGTTTTTGTTGAGTCTCTTTAGCTCTTTGTAGGTTTTTGTGATCAGTGCTTTATCATTAGTGTTGCAAAAACTATCATTAGTGTGCAAAAACTTTCTCCCAGTTGGTGGGGTGTCTCTGAAAAACAACACCTTTTAACTCTTTTCAGTCCCTCCAGCAGTATCAAGAACCTCAGCACTACCTGGGACCTTAGAGGACCATGCATAGTCACCATCTAAAGTTGAAGAATTCTACTATGCATCAAGATGCAATGACCTGACCAGAGTCACACAGCTAATTAATAGTTGTTCAGTTTGGAGCCCCAGCTCTGTGCTGTTAATCTTACCAGGGCCCTATATCAAGACATCTTTTTATAACACTCTTGATCATTTAAACAGATAGACAGATTTCCTTTGTTAAATCTTCACTTCCAAGTACTCACCAACTCCACTTTCCTTCTGTGCTTTCAATATCAAAGTCATCTAGAAGCAGTCTATCAAATAAGACTAGAAAATTCATCTCACAGTGTAAATGACTCATACTGATGAGATATTGGCATCATAATAGGATATATATCGCCTCCCCTGGTGGCGCAGTGGTTGAGCACTGGGCTGCAAAGCTGCCCGCAGACTCTACTGTACCGGTTCGATCCCCTGCCACCAGTGAGGGTTCCACATGGTGCGAAAGACCTCTCCCGCCACACCCACTGCTCCCCTCAGCAGTGTATTTTATCAGTCTGCCTGTTCTATTCCCCGCTCTGTCTCTGGTAAATTCTCTCATCCTCCTGCACTTCTGACTGTACCCAGTGCTTATATAAATAAATAAATGAATCTTTAAAAAAAAAAACAGGATATATATCTTCTACCCCATATTTTTAATGCAGGAATAACAGACTACAGTAAAGACTGGGTTATTCATACAGCTCTTTGGGGGGGGGGGTAAAGGAAGGTTTTCTCAGACCTAATCTATCATGGCAGTAGTACCTTCTTACTCTTCTCAGTCCTTCTTTGTACTAGTCTTTCCAAACCCTGGAGCAGGAGCTCCAATATATATTGAAAATTCACAAAAAGGAGAAAGTACTTGAAGATGTCTTAAACTTCAAGCCAAATCTTCTATTGTACCCCTCCTCTTGAAATAGGACAGGCTTTGGGCCAGCACTTTACAGAATTTTAAAAAAGCCACTCAGACCCAACTGAGCAGATGGTGTTATTTAACACACATGTATTAGATGTCACTTTGAATTCTTCTCCCTGATGCATAAAGTACAATATAAACAGCAAAGCTCACATAAACAAATATAGATTTTAAAATTGGTTCTCGGACATGTCAATAGCCTAGAGGGTTTGCCACAGTGGAACAAAACAGTTTTCAACCTGCAATTAATCATACAATTAAATTATAAATGTATGCATTTCATAGCCTGTGACTAATCACTCTTGTACTTACTTGATACTTATTAAGATAAAAACTAAAAAAGCATATATATGTGTATATACACATATATATCAACCACTGTTGATTTCCTAAATGCCAAACCCAATTGATGCTTTTTAGCTCTGTGTGTGTGTGTGTGTGTGTGTGTGTGTGTGTGTGTGTGTGTGTGTGTGTAAGAAAAAAAACCCTAATATACTTCATGATAGCAGAGCTGCGTGACCTTGATTATTCTCTTGATTCTTCTCTTGATTCTTTGGGGCTTAGTTATCTAACATGTAAAATAAGGTGACAGTAAGCATTCAGTTAATGTTGGATGGATACGTGGGTGAATGGGTGGGCGGATGGGTAGATGATTAGAAGACTGAATGTAGGGATGGTTGGAAGAATGAATGGATGGATTATAAAGGTTGGCCTGGTGATTTAAAGAGATATAGTTTAAACAAACAGCGGAAC